TGTTGGTGAATGCGCAACGAAAGTGAAGATGTATTTGATTGAGAAGTATAAATTGAATTGATAATTGATAAGTATTTAATATAAATCAATACACAATTTTATGGAATGACGAACACTATTATTCCACTATTTGAAAATACAAGAGTACAAGTATCCCTTTAAGGGTTTATATTACGATATTACTCTCTAAGGAGTATTACAAAGTAGGTTTAGTGGATTCGTAAAGAAGGTAAATTATACAAGGAGGTGTAGTATGTAGAAAGACTTATGTATGGTATGACTCCTTGTGTTGTGTTGTATTCAATGAACAAATGCCCATGACCTATATTTATAAGTGTAAATGGAGCTTGGAAGAAATGACCGGAATACTCTAGAAATTCCTTGATTATTCTTGTATCCATAATGTTCTAGAAAATTCACGAACCGTGTATTATATTCTCATAACTTTCAATGTTAATAATGCTCTAGAACATTCAAGTAAGATAATATTTTTAAAGAAATTAAAAGCAAGTAATGAACTTACTTGATTATTCCAAAAGCCTTTAGAATATGCACAATACTCCACCAAAGTGACGGGCTTATAAAATTTAAGCCATACCCAACAATCTCTAACATTTGGTATCAGATGTGGCAACGGTTGGACAATCCGGGCAAGATGTGGTAGCAACCAAAACAAGGGTTAGAGGAAATAGCTGCCAGAGGACATTAGTGGCTGAGGAGAGGCGCAGCAGAGGTGTAACCGTGTAAGTAACTAGAGGTTGGATTCAAAGGTGAGACTCTGAAGAAAAGTAAACCAAAGATTGTATGGATTACAATTCTCAAATTAACCCCAGCGCCATTACTTAGAAAAAAAAAAAACAAAAACAAAACCAACACGGATCATGTTAAAGTTCCCAGCAACACATTTTTGCTTGAAACTCTATAACCCAAAAGGCGTAGTAATCTTTAGAGCATTCAACATCAATTGAAAGCTCAGCTGGAGCATTCTCATCCATGGCAATAATACCATAGGATGAAATTTTAGCAAAAAGCAGTACCTTAAACTCAACTTATGGTTTAAATGTATTTTACCGCAAGATGCTATAATAATAAATTAAAAGTAATATCTATATACACCCATATTGATACATATTGGAAACAAAAAGAAAAAAAAAATATTGCACGAGTGAGGAAGTGAAATAATTATAAAGAGAGGGGGTGGTATAAAATTTTAAACCACCATTAGGAATGCTCTTATGATCCATGTTCCCACTACAGATCGAGATTGTAGCTCCGATAGGGGGGGGGGGGGGGGTTGTCAAGATTAATGCTGCTGCAACAGTGATAAATTTGCTTGGAGGATTGGGTGTAGTGGGGCGCAATTTTTGTGTAAGTTTCAAGTTTCCAGTTTGCTACGACATGACAAGTTTGATATTGCTATGGGCAAAGCCTAGCCTGGGCCTTGTAACAACAAGATTAGCTGAAAGATACAAGGTAAAGTGAGCAAACTATCAAAGGATGATCTCCTAACCCTCTCCGATGGAAGTTAATGGACACGTCCATCGCTCGATAAAGTATCACTTTGTCTCAGAAATTAGGCTACAACTATCAACATAAGGACGGCCTTTTTAACCTCTAATCGTCTACTGTATAGTTTTTGGGAGTGCAATCGAACCTAAGTTGATAGAGCTCTGACAGGGCTTGGCAAGACTAACTCGCTTCTGTTTATCTAACTCAAAGCCAAACTAAACTAGAAATCACATGAATCCATTGAGACCTAAACCAACACTGATCCAAACCAAATCAATCTATATATACATGACTAATATTGGTTAATCTATCATTACAAGCTACCTGACAATAAACTCAAATTATTCCAAACCGAAACAAATGACTCCTTGACTGAATATGAATAAAATCAAACCACATCAAATGACTCAATACCACTACCCGATCATCCTGCACCCAAAACAAATGAGTTATTATTTAACTAGTCCAATAAATTAATGGAGAATTCAAGATAAAAAAAATTGTGCAAACATAACTCACAGTTAAAAATAAAATTATATAACCTATATTGAATAAGCATTTGACCTTTTTCTTTATAACAAAAATATAGAAACAGTATACGTTCTAATGTGGTTGGTTTGATAAACCGCATCTGAATCATAAACCACAATGGCACAATGTGGTCAAAATTCTAAACCAAAAATTTCGAACAGAAAATTGCACCATGCTACAAAAATCGGTTTGGTGTGTGGTGTGAACCACGCTTTAAAGTTTAAACAATCCTAGTCACCACAATTAGGTAGTCACAATCATGATCAGTAGCTAGAAACATTAGTGTCATGAGTCATGAATGTCATCAAATGAGCAAAATAAATCCTTTAGGATAATATAAGATAAAATGGACTGGGCAAAAACAGATGGATATTTAAGATGTTGCAAAATGTAGAAAGCATACAGAGGATACAAGAACAACAAAATAATGAAGCATTCTCCTACAGAAGAAAGGACAAGCTTCATATCAAGCTTTATGTTATATCAAACCAACATGACAACACCAGAAAAGCAAGGCAAGTTACAAAGTTTTACTACTATACTGATATGGAAGCTAACTATCCCTTTCTATGCTGATTTGCACTGTATGAAGCAAATTAATACCTTACAGCGAGAACTGCATCATATACCCAAATACAGGAACACACAAGGCCAATTTTTTGCTCACTTGCCCATTTAAAGAGCTTATTTTGAGCTTTCCAAATGGGAAGACGAGTAGAGAATTTGCAATGTATAGGGGATATTGTAGGGCGTATTTTACTCTTTAACATTGATCACTTACTTTTAAGTGCTGAAACTTATTCCATTATGTTATCCTCTTTTCAAATACAAAGAAGTACAAATAATTGCCTTCATTTTTATACAAGGGAAGAGACTTACATGATTTTTGCCTTCTCTTTTAATTACAAATGAATATGAATAGAATATGGAACATTGAAAAGAAAGGGACCACAGAAGAATAGTTGACCCAGGACCTAACAAAATTGCATATACAATGGCTTAGTATCACTGTTTTAACCAGCTGCCATCTAATATATATTCACATATCACAAGTCATTACAACTAATTTAATTGCATTAGGAACTATTATCACATCTTGTATTTAAGTTTACTTTCAATATTACACACATTCCCCTGTCCTAATGTAAACCAGAATTACAGAGTAAAAATCTGACACCCTTGCTTTCCCAAGTTCTGAAATGCCGTATCCACAAAGACCACATAAGTTTATTTTACAGTTGATGGATTCTAAGCAATGTCAAAAGTCTTCTAGCATTTTCTTTTCATGCTGTAGCAAAATCTTAAAAACAAAGCTAGTTGAATCACCAAGTAGGCAAGTATACAAAGGACCAAACATCTCAACATTGATCTGATGCACTTCATCTAAACTCTAAAAGCTACACTCAACATTCTTACAGAAAAAGCAACTCAAAGCCAGGCATGCAAGGTCTCTCTCTGATCTTATTCTCCTCTTAGGCCCCAGATAATAGAGCAAATGAATTTCAAGTTGCTTGCCCATGACAAGAATTATCAAATTCGCGCACAAGTTCTAGACAGATCATAGAGCTCTAACATATAGGATAACCAGTAGCGAAAAATTCCAAGGAGAAAAGTCAAATACATCCAGAAAAATATAGACTTAAATCGAGGCTATGCTGAAATTTCAGTGAATCCTATTGGACACAAATTACACCTTCTCATGAACAAATTAAAAGTTACTTCTGATTTAGGGTTTAATGGTCAGAATATCTTACAGTACAACAGATGACAAAAGATGGGAAATAAGTTTAGATTGCAAAAAACAGAACACTCTGTTAAGCAGCTCCAAGCTGGCCTTCCAGATAGCCAATAGAAAAATGTGGCCAAGTGGTTTACCTACAGAAATTATATAGCTGACTAGAATGGGAAAAAAGATTCAGTTAATAAACATCATCCCCAATTTAGAAGTAAACCAAGGTCTTATCTTTAGCTAGCGGACTTCGTTTTCCCAGTCTCTTTTCATTCTTTGCTCACAAGTCTTTCTGTACCCTACATCCTTAGACTTCCTTTAACGGCCAATTGTTTACATGGTAATATTTGATGGAATGTAATTGAGATTGCATATAAATTATACAAGATAATTTCCATGCCAAAGTTAATACAACTGCAACTTTACTCACAAATATTAACTTCTCTTCATAAAATCAGTAATGACCATGTTTGTAATGTATTTCTCCTTATAAGTATGATTGCATGAATCTTTGCAAACTAGTCATATGTTATACCATAAACATTTCCTGTGAAAAATGCACTACATATCCGTACTACGTTTGCAAATTATATACTAAGATTTAGGTGACCATACCCACCAGTCCACCACTTGCATTCTAGGCTTTTAAATACAATTCTTTCAGAGATACCAGTCATACTAACATGTTTGGCCAAAAGAACTTATGTTCTGTGATCTTGTCAGCCTATTACCAGATATGACATCAATCACCATTAATAAAATAAGCAGCTACAAAACAAAATGTCCAAGAAGTGGAATTCCCAGCAGACTAGGAACTCAAAGAAATTCACAAAGAAGACCAACTTTATCTTCATATATATAGGGTTTTTGTTCTGAGTCAATTTTTAATAACAGTTCTTAACCAGTGTAGTACTAGGTTTACTTCCCAATCTAACACAATACCTATCTCCCATTTCCTTTTCCACAATATGATTAACAATTCGTTTTCTATTCTTTTCAATTTCCCAATGAATCAAAGCAAAGAGCCATCATATTATTGTTATACCAAGCACTACAGTGAACAAATTCACTCAATCATTCACAACACCGAAAAGACAAACTCCAACTAAAAGACAAGCTATACCATCTTATAAAGCCAGTGGCTCCAATTATTACAAAATATGAAAGTGGGATACAACGTTCTTCAAGCAAAATAATCTACCCCTAATTCTACTAAAGCCCAAATACATGAAAAAAAAAAAAATCAAAAAAAAAAAAAAAAAAAAAAAAAAAAAAAACCTAAGGGCTTCCCTAATGTTATCAACTAATCCAGCTTCATCCACCTTGTACTCGAAAAATAGCAAAACAAACTTGAAAAATCACATGAACATATGTGCAGTCCCTCTAATCTAAATTACAACACCTAAGTTACTGCCTCAACAAAATACCTACAAATAACACCAGCAAACATATAAAAACCAAGCAAAAAGTCCGAATTTGGGAAATAGAAACAAATTAAACAATGCTACAAAGATCAGGGCTTCCACTAATGCTATCAGCTAATCCGGCTACAAATGTTAATCACCCACCTGGTGCTCAAAAAACTGCAAAGCAACTCAAAAAATTTCCATGATCATATGTCCACAACATCATAGGTGCAAACCCTCTAATCTAAACTATAACACCTAATTTACTGCCCTCAACAAACCTACTAACAACATCATCAAACATATAAAACCAAGCAAAAAGTCTCTATGGAAAGAAATAAAACAATGCTACCAAGATCATAAACATATTAAAAACAAAGAATAGAGCTTTCAAAAAAAAAAAAAAAAAAAAAAAAAGGAATAGCTAAAAATCCAATAATAATAATCATAAAATAAAAAAAAAACACTAATAAAAGTATCATTCTTCACAAGTCACAACATATATTCTAACTTAAATAACCTAACACATTGATCAAATTCTAAAAACTAACCTCGATAAAAAAAATAAAAAAAAATTCTAAGCATCAGGGTCATCACTGTCATCAGAATCCTCAGGAGGAAGATCAGTAGCAAGATAAGCACCAGGATTAATGATTTTCCGGCGAGTTCGAGACGGAAGAATATTATCAAGATCAACCTCAGCCAAGGGATCTTCAGCAATATCACTACCATCAGATAATTCATCACCGAATTCATCGGAACCCGAATCATCAGAATCATCATCGGAATCATCTTCATCTTCTTCTTCGTCTTCTTCAATTAGAATACCCTTCCCTTTCCTGTCAATTTCAGCTTTGCTGCCATTGGAACCCTTCACTTCTTCAACTTCTTTTGCTTCTGGGTCTAGTTGTTCTACGATACTCTTTCCTTTGTGTACGACGTCGTTTTCTGGGGTTGGTTCAAGAGATTCGGGAGTATCTTTGCCATTGTTATCTGGGGTTTCGAGTTTCTGCCTTTTGACATCAATGGCGGAGTTATCGGTAGTCGGATCTGGGATACGCTTGGTTGGCAATGTGGGTTCGGGGCAATTATTGACGTCCGCCATTGATGGATTTTGGGGATTTTTGAGCTTGGGTTCTCTCGGAAGAGAGGGAGAGAAAGGGGGCAAAGGGTATATGAAGGGTTCAGGCGTTCAGCAGCGACTGAGCGAGTGATTTTTGATTTTTTTTTTTTTTTAAAGCTTTTTACTGAAGTTAGGGCTGATATTTTCGTAATTAATCTATCTATTAACTATTATTAAAACAAAACATTGTTGACATCATTTCTCCTCAAAATAGTATGCGTGTTGGTTTTTTAAGAATTTTTTTCCCACGTAAAACCATTGATGATGTCATTTTTTTTGTGTTAGTTTTTTTTTTTTTTTTTTTGGAGTTATTGTATATATATATACTATAATCTATACTATCTATTAAAAGGCGTTTATAAAATTATGTATGTGCCACATGTACCCCTTCTTGAGGAATTTTAAAGGGAGGAAAGTTAGGCATTTATAAATGCATAACATTGATTAAAATATTATTAAAACACATGATAGAGAGAGAAAAGAGGAGAGAGATAGGAAGAGAGGTCTGTAGGTGGACTCCACCTATTTTTTTGGTCGGATTTGTATCACGTGATAGGGGACCACATGTTGATTGTTCCACTGAAAGTTTATATGATACCATTGAATCATTAGTGGTACCATTTTTGCATAAATTTTGTATAACTGAATGCATATATAATACCATTATGTGCATATATAGTTACACGGTATATTCAGTGGACCATTTGATCATCCAATGATACCAGAATATGCATTCCTTTGTACATATGTATAATTACATAAATACCCCTTGTTATGCATTTGTAAATGCCTAATTTCCTCCATTTCTAGTTCCTCCCCCTTCTTACATCCGTATTATGCCACATCATCATTCAACAACCTCTACCATTATGCCACATCATCATTCAATTATCCAAATTAAATTAAAAATGCATGCAAAAAACCACATGTATTGTCATCATAGCTAGAATTAAATTATAATCTATGTTTCCACATTTATGTATAAATACATATAGTACAAGTATGATAATGTAATATAAAATAATAAAAAAAAATCCAAAATGAGTTATTGTTGTCATTGTTTTCAAATTTACCACTTAAAAAAAATTATGAACTACGTCTTTTAAAATATCTAATATAAAAACGAAATTATTCAAAGTATCACCCGAGGCAAGCCCGGGCCACACACTAGTTTTTTTTTATTAAAACCGTGCGTCGCACAGGGATAATCTAGTTAATAGTAAAACAAAACGTTGTTGACATTTATGTCACTCTCATAATAAAATCTAGGTTAGTCTCATGCGATGCATGACGTAATACTTGTTTTGCTTATTTAGATGTATGTAATACATATTTAAGAAAAACACTAATGAATCGTCTGCTTTCTTATTAGATAAAATTGAGCTATTACGAAAGATATGATGTTAAATATAGAGTATTATAATCATATAACATACTATATACTTCATAATTTAAATAAAATTTAAAACATATTTATAAGATTTTACTCCGGAGCATTAATTCACTGTTCATCCTCCATTAATTTTTTAAGAACTAATAAGGAATAATAAAAACACCAAAAACGACACTATAAATGTATAAAGTAGGGGGAGATAAAATGTTTCTAGAAAAATGAAATATTCTAGCCACTAACTTTTAATTTTAATCCATGGAAATATTGTGTAATTAGTCAAGTTTAGCATAAAATATTTTAGGAAATGTGCAATTAATTTAATAATTCCAAACATTTTTTTTATCTTGAAAAAAAAATAATAATGTTACCAAAATTTTGGAGGGAAATTTTTTTATGGGAAGTTGACACTTGTAAATGATGATGTCAGCAGTTATTTTTTTTAGTTATATTTATTATAGATTTTCCTGCCTTAATGGAAGGATGATGTCATCATTTTTTTGAGCTGTCATTTTTAATAATTTGAAATTTGAATATTAGAAGCTTTTGCATTTCAACTACAAGAATCAATTTATCCTTAAAAAATGAAATAATTTTAGTTAACCCACTATTTAATAGACTCCTACATTGAAATAATGTACAAATTTGTCCTAAAAAAAATGTACAAATTATAACTATAGATTTTATATAAATCATGCATCGCACAGGTTCTAATCTAGTAATTGCAACAATAGATGTTTCACAAAGTTTTAAGGAAAAATAAAAATTAAAAATTCAACCTTTCACCGGTCTTCCCTAAGAAATCCAATCTTTCGATTATTCCAAAAAAAAAAATCCAACCTTTACCCTCAATTTTCATCTAAAGATCCATTACTTATGTGAATTTCTAAACACTGCCACCAAAAATGATCACCACCGCCAACATTCGGTGTGAATGGACAATCGTACCCTTATTACTTCGGTAACGTTTATAATCAAACTAAAATATTCGAAATATATATAATCCGGTTATTAAATAAATTAAATGGATAATAAATCTTATCCAAAATCCAAAGATAATAATTATGTTTTAAAATATTTTTGGCGCCAAAATTCAAATATTATTTTAACTCCGAAATTCAAATAGTAAAAATTACTAAAATACCCTTTTTAAAAAATAATAATTAATTAATTAATTAGAAAATATGTTCCAAAAATACAGGGTATTACACAAATGACGGTTTTCGGAGCATTCCTCTTCATCTCTCGCATTCTTGTCGTCGTACCCTAGGGTTTCGTCGTTAATCCTGAATCCTCGACGCTCTTCGTAACGACCTAGCCTTATTACGACGGGTGGTGGCTAGGTCGTTAGGAAGAGCGTCGAGGATCCCGGATTAACGGCAGAACCCTAAGGTACGACGACAACAATTCGAGAGATGAAGAGGAATGCTCCGAAAACCGTCGTTTGTGTAATACCCTGTATTTTTGGAACATATTTTCTAATAAATTAATTATTATTTTCTAAAAAGGGTATTTTAGTAATTTATTTTACTATTTGAATTTCGGAGCCAAAATAATATTTGAATTTTGGCACCAAAAGTATTTTAAAATATAATTATTATCTTTGGATTTTGGATAAGATTTGTTATCCATTTATTTTATTAAATAACCGGATTATATATATTTCGGATATTTTAGTTAAGAAACAATTATATTTTATTAATTATTAAAAGGTCCGAAAATTCCTATGATTAGCTATGAATTTTGGATATTCCTAGTGTGGAAAATATGATTTTATTAGTTAAATTATTTAGTGAATAATTGATATTTTCTTAATTAATTATTTTATGCAATTATTATTTACACAATCATTGTTAATCCTTAAAATCTACCAAAATAAGTTCCTAAAATCTACACAGAGGTCCGAAAATTTGAGCTATGGAAAGGTCAAATTTTTCAAACACCTTGATTGATTTTGAGTAATTTATTTTTGTAGTTTATGTTTTTAATTATCTTCCTTAATTTTATTACTTTTCCTTAATTCTTATTTTTCATCTCCTAAATATTTGATCATCTTGTTTTTCTACCTTAAATCATCCTTGATTATTCCCTAAGAAAATCCATTTACCATATTATTTTTCATAACAACATGCTTTCCATAAAATAATTATTCCTGATGTGTCCAATTTATATAGTGTTTTACCCCCGTCCCTTGGTCATAATTAGTAGTGTTTTTGGCTCTTTAGAGCCACTTTTATTACTAATTGGTATTTTCTAATGTTTTTGTAGTTTTGCTTGATTTTTGTAGGAAATTGCACATTTGGAGCGTTTTCCGGGTTTTTCATGGAGCAACTAAGAACATTAGGAGGACACGACCTTTCTTTGAAGCCCAGGACTGGTTCACTAGTACAGGAAAGGGATATTGCGACGCTAAGAAATGGGCTCCTGCGACGCAAAAAAGCGCTGCTACACCCTTTACCGAAGCCACGAAAAGTGACGTGTAAGCTGGTGCCGCAAGACCCTATAGCGACACTATTTAATAACGTCGGTATAGTGTTTAAAAAAGCGTCGCGACCTTGACGCGCTTTTCGGCATCTTATAGAGGCACTTGTAAGCGTCGCCAATTCCTTGGAACCCGCATTGTACACAGCCTACCAAGGCACTTGTAAGCGCTGCCATAGCTTGTTAGGAGTGTTTTTCTATACTTTTAGCGTCACTTTTAAGCGCCGGCATAATTTATGTAACGCACTTACCTATAGCCTATCAAGGCACTTTTAAGCGTCGTAAGAAGTAAACTACCACACTATCTTACACAGGCACTTTTTAACGTCGCAAGATGTACAATGGTGTGGTTATGTAATAGCATTTATAATAACATTTAGAGCGTTGCTAAATTACCTGTTTTTTACATGATAAAATTCTAAACACCAAAAATTTTATTAAAATAAATTATGGTCATAAATGTCATCGAACAAGAAACATGAAATAAAGTATCTAAAATCATTTAAACAAATAACCATCTAAATTCCTACACATTTATATATATGTATATATATATATATAAAATAAAAAAAAAAAAAACCGTTCAGCAGCTAGAATGTACTTAATAAGTAAACCAAAACTATGCCAATAGAAGATTTATTTTATAAGACTAAATATTGATGCTTTAAATTGTCTTCATGTTCCAACTTTGAAGTTGCCAAAGCATAACCTGCATGAGTGAAAACAAATAGTCAACTACTATATTTAAAATTATTATATGATGATAAAAAAATAAAAAAAAATAAAAAATATATGTTAGACATTTAATAACCAATCTAACCTTGGTAACGCAATAACTAATCTCTACGATTAATGTCATTGTTAGCTCTGGGAGAAGCTTCAACATCCTAGAAAAATAACAAAGGAGAAAAGTTATCAACTTTATATCATCAAGTTAAAAGGCGCAAATGTACCAATCAATAATAAGAAATCAAACCTGGAAATTACTACATACATATTACTAACATTCCCAACATTAAACACTCAAAGATGAAAGAGACATTCCTAACATTAAACAAAGTATTAATTAATAGTTCCTACATTACTAACATTATCGTCAATGTAATATGCAAAATTGTTAATTTAGAATTTTGCAAATGACAATGTTCAACCAATTTCACTTAAAAGTAAAGACAAAAAATTGTAACCAAATTAGTACGATCCTTAATTAAGTGTTCCAAGTTCACACAACATATTTCTTTTATATGATTCTAGTAAGTAATCATACAATTAAAAATAAGCAACTTATGTAACTATGAGACAGAACCATTTTCTACTTATTACAATTACTCTACCTACAAGCTAACTGCCAAACAAATACTTTACAGTTATATGGGCATAAAAAAAAAAAAAAAAAAAGTAAGGTGCCCATCAGATTGGTGTTGCATATCGACAACCATATCAAGACCATGCCATAGCTATAAAGACACAAAATAGGAGTTGTAATATAGTATTATAATTAATCACCTGATCATCATCATCTTCTGCCTCTGAATACTCATCAGATTCGGTAGCAAGAGAATCAGTTTCAGATTCAGTTTCAGATTCAGTTTCTGAGGCAAGAGTCACAAGAATGTCATGATCTTCTAGCGTCCTTTTCACCTTTGTCATATTATATGCTTGCTTTTTGACACGATGTCTCAATCTATTCACTTTATCCTTCAGTCGTCGAAAATAGTGTATAATTGCTGCTTCATTATCAGAGGACATTTTCAAACCATTGCAAAATCTAGGGTAAGAGGATTCGCCCACATCCGATGGCTTAACACCTAATCCTAAACCACGGACACGACCATATTGATCTTTTCCTAGAACTTTTGAAACAGGATCATCATCCAAGTCTTCTTGGTCTCCTTGCTCAGTTGCAACTTTTTTTATTTGATTCTATAGAGCATGCACAAATTCATAATAATTTATGAGAAAATAATTGAACTAAATGAGGATTCTAGGAAGGAAAATATTACTCACTGTTATATCCGCTTCACTTTCATGTTGGTGACATTGTAAATAAACTTGAGTACGTGATGGGCTCTTGTTTAAATTTTTTTTTCTAAGATTTTCATCAAAGAGATGTTACAAATTAGCTAATAATCAACAAAGATAAAGTGTGTACGAAAAGTTAAATTATACATGGTTAAAAAAAGATACCATCTCTTCACGAACACGTGCATGACTCTTAGTACCAGTAGTATGAATTGGCTTCACTTTGGCCTTTGCATGTGATTCTTTACTGCGCTTGCTTCTTTTCTTCCACAATGCAAAATAAATTTATATATACATTTACATTATATATAAAAATACATAGGGCAACCAAAAGCAAAGTAACTAGCAAAGCTGCCTATATAATGTTCAAAGTAACTAGCAAGTTTAATATAAACCAAAGTTATATATAAAACAGACCTGTCCTTCTTCTGACCTCCAGAAATTGACAAGACTAACCCATTGATCATAATCAACATCATCATCCGGACAATTATCATAAAGAGTGTTGACATCTGTATCATCATCATAGCCTTTTCCTTTTAAGTAGCATTTGTAATCTATCCATTTATGCCCAATTGACTTCAATATCCACTTCTCAAGTGCTTTTGGGTAAAGAAATCGTCTCTAAAACAAAGAAATATTATAACAATATAAAATATGTACATTTTTCATACAAAAAATAAAATAAAATAAAATAAACTCATATTACCTCAACTTCCTGTAATATCAATTTTTGGTTGTTTTTATTACAACCTTTTTTCAATAAATCCCATCTTGTATAAGTTAGAGAGCAAAGTGACCCATTCCTAGCAACTGTTCCACAAAAGTAGCCTAATACTCCTCCTTCATCACCAATTGGTTGATTCTCTTTATTAACTTCAACTACAATTCTTTGCCCATCTGGTAGATTCCAAACATCTGCTAGAACAGTCTTTCCACGTCTTCTATTTCCATTTGTATCTGTTTTAATAAATAGAACAATATAGTTCCACTAAATTTAAGCAAATGAAAATAAGAAAAAAAAAATCCATGTTTTTGCATCATTCACATTACCTTCAATTGTGTATTCATAAACATCATTTCTGTGACTAGAACCACCTGATTCTTCACTAGAATTGTTGTGCCTTAAGTTTGAAGATTGTTGATTTGTTTGTCTCCCTTGCTGCCTGTGCTCACTTCTTTCATTTGGAAAAATCTGATCCCTTTGACTACTTTGATGCATTTCATTTGAAGGATTTTGGTTTCTTTGTTCCCTTTGCTCCCTTAATTCATGATTAGAAATTTGATCTCTTTGTCTCCTTTGTTGCATTCCATTTGTAGAAGTTTGGTCTCTACGATTCCTTTCATTTGAAGGTTGTTCTCTTTGTACCCTTTGATCTCTTTCGTTTGTAGATCTTTGAGCATGTGACCCATTAACGGAGTTGTTTGTTTGATGCACAATACTGCCATTATCTTGTTGAGGATTGGTAGTTAATCGCAATCTCTTGTTCTTGCTCAACGCCATACCCTAACAATAAAAGAAACTTGAATAAGATTTTTGTGAACCAAAAACAACACAATCAACACTAGATTTTGGTGAACCAGAATCAGATTAGAAAAACAACTCAAAACCACTAGATTTATCTTGTAATTAGAATGCAGAATAGCAACACAAATCTTCATAATTTGAGATGCTAATGGAGTTGAGCTATTCCCTTGCAATACATAATAGGTTATACATTGAAAAAGTTGCAAATTTGCTATAGTCGAGACAAAAGCTTTAGAAATAGAATAGCAGAATAGCATGAAACAAAATTTAGATCAGAATTTAAAAAACAGAATAGCAGAAGTCCATGAAATAGAATAGCATGAAACAGAATAGTAGAATAGCATGAAACAAAACTCAAACAGAAACTCAAAGCATGAAACCAAATAACAGACTTTAGATCAGAGCAACTGTAATTAGTGGGGGAGGGGGGTGATCTCATAGTGACTCAATATTAATTTTTTTTATATAAATCTGCTCAAATGCAACATTTTTGAGCTTCAGATAAGTCCATCTTACTGTCAGAAGCTGACAATAGGGATTCTCAAGATTAAGTTGCTACCTACACATATATAATCAGCCAAATCGATATTCGATCATTGATCAAACAGGAAAAATAAATTAGAGAAACTCACAAATCCGCATCAACTAACCTACTTCGATCACCCTGATACATAATTTTAACTCCCCATTGATCTGAGCTCATCCAATGACAACTTAATTTGATCTTGAACCAATTCCAAACGCTTTGAATACACCTCAAGCTCCAATATTTGTTGTTTTCTCCACTTGTCATCCATTACATCCCCACCACTACCCCCAACCGAATTCACCCCTGAAAAATTCAGGGGAACCGCGTTCAATGCCAATGCCCCGACCCCCTTAATCCCACCACTACTACCTCCAAACATTGCTAATAATTATTTGGTTAAGTAACTATGATAGAAACAGTATGTCTAATGGCTTAAAGGTGTCAAACAACCAAGTTTAATTTCATTGACATGATGTTTTGATAATCTAATCATACTGGTTTAATTCATATTCAATTTGATTGAGATATATCATTGGACCTTATTAATTTCATTACTTATACAGAATTATGAGACATGAGTAATCAGGGTATATACTAAAGATTGAATTAAACACTCAAGAATACATAATTACAAAATTGATAGCCAAAGAAATTAAACACAGCACATGATAAGCAACATGAAACATTAAACACTTCTATTGATGAAAAATTGCTGAGAAAATATGCATTACATAGACGAAATTACATCTAAATAAACATGCAATAAACATACCTGAAAGTAGCCTCTTTTCTGGATCTCTTTCTTTTTGACAAGAGTTTTTTCGAGAATATTGAAATTAGAACTGCAATTATAGCCGAAATTGATAGGAAAAACTGAGCTTAATTCAGCAAATTGGAATTGGCGAAATAAACATATAAAGATTAGAAATTGACAAAACCCGGAAAAAAAATCAGAAAATCGTGTAAATTAATTTGCAAAACAGAGAATTTAAGTAAATTAAAAGGGGAAATTCAATAGAAAAACAAAAAAATTATGAGAAAAACTTTACCTTAGAATGAGAATTTTGAATTTGTATGGGTCGATTAAAATTCTCAAACAAAATTGACGAATTGGGCAAATTAAAAGGGAAAATTCAGCAAAAAGAAAACGAATTAAATGTTTATGGTTCTTCAAGTAAAAAATTGAGGATGATATTCAGAGAGATTAGGGAGATTGATGAGCGCACAATTGGGGCAATTCCATATTTTTAGTAGTGATAGGTTAGGGATTTGCAGAAGTATAGTGGGAGTCGTGGGAGTTTTGAAATATTTCACAAAATAAAATAAAACTAAGTGGCGCAGTTTTTTTAGCTGTAACAACGCTATATTGCAGTGCTTTTTAATAAGTGCTCTAATTTTACACGGAAAGTGCATATTTTAGCACTATTAACATGTTGCGCGACTACCAATGCGCCTTAATAGACTGTTTTTGTAGTAGTGGTTAGAGCCGGCGATTAAGGGCTCGGTGTGAGATACCGGGGCATTTGGACCGAGTATTCAAGAGCCGAAAAGAAAATCCAGATTGGGCCGAAGAATCAAGCCCAATCGAAGTCCAAGCCTCGAGGAAGAGACCGGGCCCGATCGGGCAAGCTTGCGCCTGATCGGGCGGGCTCGCAGAAGAAGGCACCAGCAAAAGGCGCGCGCGATCGGGTGAGCATTAGCTCGATCGGGCGCGGCTGCCCAGGAGATACCTTGAAGAAAAAGGCGGGCCCGATCGGGCGCATGTTTTTGGAGGCACCTGATTGCCGAGATTTTAGTTTTCAATTAGGATTTGTTTTAGGGATGTTTTAAGTACGATTTTTGTACGCATTTTGATTACCTTCTCTTTTAGACTTTCTATCTCTACTTAGAATATTTTCTCTCTCTTAGAATTCTCTCAACTTTGTTCTTAATTCCATTCCTTAATCCAGATTACTTTTGGTAACAATTTCTTCTCTTTTAATTTCAGTTACTTTCTTTAATTCTTTCATCATGTCTTATTTTATTGTTTTGATTAGTTTAGATTTAATTATGCGTGAGTAGTTTTATTTCTAGGGTTTATGGGGATCTAATACATAATATGAAGGGGTAATTTGTGATTGTTGATTATCAATGCTTGATTATTTTCCTATTGATTGATCTAATGCTATGCAATTAGGTTTGGCCAGATTTAATTGTATGAGTTTAGCAATATTGATTTGATATTCGAGAGATGAGAATTGATGTTTAGTCTTAGTTTCAATAGGCGGACTAATTTATAAATGGTTAAGTCGAGATTCGAGAGATGGGATTTAATACCGGTAAATTAACTCTGTGATTGCAATACGTAGCGAAAGCCCTTTATAGTCTGATTAATTGATGCATTGATGATTACTTATTATGATTTACCCTGGAATATTTTTTATTGGTGAACCTATGCCCTAGGTTTTTCCTTCATTGATTTACCTCTTATTTTACTCCCTTCCCACTCTTACCTTTAGTAGTTTAATTACCTTTTTATAATAATTTGGTTACTTGATAATTTAGATTGCTTTTAATTAATTAGGAATAAATTGACTTGTTTCCCTATGGTTCGACCCTTCTTCCCTATCTACATAGTTAGTGTATTTAGGTTTTATTTTTGATTAGGTGAATACGACTTGGGCCTGTCAAAATGTGGCGCCATTGCCGGGGAACGAACCCTGGTCATCTGCATGACATGCAGAAATACTTAAAACGGTTTTATTTTTATTTTCTGATTATTATTTTGTAGTCTAGATTATCCCCTCTTGTCTTAGAGAACGTTAGTTCTTTGAGGCAACTCTCATATTTGTCTTTTAGTTCCTTGTTTATGCCCAGATGTTCCAGATCAGGTTACATCCCATTCGATCTCGAGATCGAGCGCTCGTTTCATAGGCAAAGGAATCTTTATAGACAAATCCTGGCGGGTTCTGAGGAAAACAATAATCGAACCTCCATTTGATTCTAGTGACTCAGAAATTCCTTCAGATACAAAATCAGAGATGACGGCTCAAAAGAAGCTCAGTGACTACTCGCAGCCAAAGCTCACAGATTTTCCACACCTTACTCCCACTCCGGCCTTAGATGGAGTGCAATTTGAAATCAAGCCCCAATTTATCACTATGATAGAGAGGAAGCAATTTAGTGGAGCTAAGGGTGAAGATCCTAATCTTCACATTGCATATTTCTGCCAATATTGTAACACCATTAGACAAGCCGGGGTCACGCAGGACCAAATCAGGGAGATTCTTTTTCCCTTTTCATTATGTGGCAAAGCTAAGTTATGGTTTAATGGTTTGAATAGAACTGCACTTGGTATTACTGACTGGGAAACTCTTGCCTTGAATTTTTATAATAAATATTACCCTGCAGAGAGAACAGCTATACTAAGGAGTGCTATTCAGAACTTCGCTCAAGAGGCCGATGAAACTTTATATGAGGCTTGGGAGAGGTTCAAGGATCTACAGAGAGAATGCCCCCACCACAATCTGGCACAATGGCAATTGATCCAAGCTTTCTACAATGGACTTGGAAATTCATCTAGATCAGTTCTAGATTCTGCAGCTAGTGGGAGATTCATGAATTTAAATGTGGACGATGCAGGACAGGTTATCGAAGATATGGAAATACACAATTCCCAATACGAGAATCCGAGAGGGTTTGCAAATAAAGGAAAACATAATGTTGATTCCGTATCCTTTTTGCAAGCTCAATTAACATCTATTTGTTAGAAATTAGATAATCTTATTGCTACTCCTAACTCTGTAGCTAATGTTTCTACTGTTGCTAACAATGAAGCTTTTTGTGAAAATTGTGGAATTGTAGGGCATTGGGAGCAAGATTGTAGGAGTTCCATGGAACAAGTTAATGCCTTCCAAACCTATAGGCAAAATAACCCATATTCCAACTCTTATAATTTTGGTTTCCGAAACCATCCATATGTTTCGTACCGGAGTACCAATGTACAAAACCCTCCACCTTCACAACAACCACAACAGCAACCTCCACCACAGCAGAAATATTACCATCCTAATTCTGGCTAGAAAAACCAAGCACAACCCTCATCATCTTCCGACCCTGCTATGACAGAAATTAGAGAAATGCTTACCAACATGCAAAAGCATATGGAGAGTAGGGATGCGCAAATTGATTCAATTTTAGCTCACAATAAAATCATGGATAATCAAATTGCACAACTTTCATCTACCCTACAAACCCGTCAGCAGGGAGATCTACCATCATAACCAATCCATCCCACAGATCATGCTAATGCAATCACTTTAAGGAGTGGTTCACATTATGATGGACCTCCTATGCCAAAGGGAGATGGACCAGTTCCTGATCCAGATTCCTCTATTCCAAACGCTAATTCTGCTAACCTTATAGGGCTATAAATCTCGGGATAAGGGAGGAGATGTGCAGAGCCCAGTTATCAAACTATCGTTCCCTAATAGACAATTGAAGAGTAAGTTTGATAAACAATTCGGTAAGTTCTTATAGGTTGTGAAAAACTTGCAGGTAACAGTTCCTTTCACTGATTTAATCACTCAGGTTCCTACATATGCTAAATTTATGAAAGACATTCTGACTAGGAAAAGGGCCTTTAATGAGGTAGAAACTGTAGCTTTTACAGAGGAATGTAGTTCCTTATTGCAAAATAAATCCCCTCCTAAATTAAAGGATCCTGGTAGTTTTTCTATCCCTTGTCATATAGGGGATGTTTTTATTGATAAAGATTTGTGTGATTTGGGTGCCAGTGTCAGTGTTATGCCATCGTTTGTTTGTGCTAAACTTAATATGGGTGATTTAAAATTTACTAATATAACTTTGCAAATGGAAGTTCGTTCTGTAAAATACCCTCTAGGTATTTTAGAGGATGTCCCTGTCAGAGTTGGTAAATTTTTTATCCCTGTTGATTTTGTTGTTTTAGACATGGCTGAGGATACACAAATTCCCATTATATTAGGTAGGCCTTTCCTCCATACTGCAGGAGCCATTATTGATATTAAAAATGGTAAACTAACTCTTTCTGTTGGTGATGATAATGTTACTTTTAATTTAGGGAAAATTTTGAAAGGACCTATGCTAGAGGAAAATTGTTGTCTTATTGATGTAATTGATATAATGGATGATATCTGTGATGATAGCTTGCCACAGGTTCTTGCAAGGGATCCCCTGGAGGAAATTCTTTGCGAGAATTTATCTGCAGATAATGCAAGCGTTTGGGGTAATGAAGTACATGATATTGAAAGAGCTCTTTCCCTAAAAGAGTTAGACCCTAAGGAGACAATGAAGGTAGTAAATTTTGTTCAGGAATCGAAACCTGCAGAGGTTAAGAAACCTGAACTAAAACCTCTCCCTTCTCACTTAAAATATAGTTTTCTAGATGAGCAGGAACTATACCCCGTGATCATCAGTACTGCACTTAATGACCTACAAACTTCCCAACTTCTAGGGGTCCTTCAAACCTATAAGAAAGCAATTGGGTACAATATTGATGATCTCAAGGATATTAGCCTTGATTTTTGTATGCACAGGATACATCTAGAGGGAAACTATAAGCCCTGCATTCAACCCCAAAGAAGATTGAATCCTAACATGCAGGAAGTAGTCAAGAAAGAGGTTATGAAATTACTTGATGCGGGTATTATCTATCCTATTTCTGACTCCAAGTGGGTAATTCCTGTGCAGGTAGTGCCTAAAAAAGGTGGGATGACTGTGATCACTAATGATAAAAATGAATTAATTCCCACTAGAACTGTAACAGGGTGGCGTATGTGTATTGATTATCGTAGACTGAATATCGCCACTAAAAAGGACCACTTCCCCCTCTCCTTTATAGATCAAATGCTTGAAAGGTTAGCTAACCATAAGTGTAATACCCTGTATTTTCATACGTATTTTCTTAATTAATTATTATTTTCTAAAAAGGGTATTTTAGTAATTCAATTTACTATTTAAATCTTGGAGCCAAAATGATATTTGAATTTTGGCTCCCAAAGTATTTTGATAACTAATCATTATTTTGGATAAGATTTATTATCCATTTATCCTATTTTAAAAACCGGATTATTTATATTTAAGATATTTTAATTAAGGCAAAAGCTATATTTTATTATTATTTTAATAGGTCCAAAAATCCCAATTAATTAGCTAATAATTTCGGATTTTCCTATGTGAAAATCTGATTTTTATTTAGTTAAATTATTTGGTGAATATTTGGTATTTTATTATTTAATTATTTATTACAATAAATATTATTTACACAATTATTTTTAATTCCTTTAAACTAGCAAAATATATTCCTAAATATTAAATACGAAGGCCGAAAATATGAGCTTAGGAAAGCTCAATAATTTCGACCATCCCATAAAGATTTTGGGAAAATATTTTGGTATTTGTATTTTTAATTATCTCCCTTAAATCTCCTATTTTCCATAATTCTAATTCTCCATCTTTTTGATATCCAATTATTATATTTTCTTGCCATTCATTCTTCTTAATTATTCCCCAAGCAATCCCAATTTCCTAAATATTTTCATGACATACATACCTTCCATATACAATTATACACAATCCCTTCAAATATCAAAACTTTCCTTAAATCTTTGCTCACTTCTTCAAGTAATCTCTTAAACCCTAATTACCATAATTCTTCCTAAATTTTCCTACCATAATTCATGCTCATACTAGCCTATAAATACCCCTTCATACCTCTCACATTCTTCACACCAATTCTCTTCTTTTCTTCTCCTCAATTTTACACAAATCATCCCGTTCATCTTTGAAGCCAATTTTCGGGCACTTCTGGTCAGTTTTTGGGGTAGTGACGTTTCACAAAAAGTTGTTTCTCTCGAAAAATACTTGAGGTTAGGCTCAAGAATCACCCAATTCTGAGCTATATCAAAGGAGTTATAGCCTCTGAAAGTTATACCTTTTATTTCCTACGCAAATTCAATTCTTTTCTTCTCCTTTTCTTTTATTCAATTATTATTATTATTATTATGGGAGATTAATATAAAATTATTATGATTAGTTTTAATTATATAAAATCAGATTTTAATAATGTTCATGTTGAATTAATTTAAGAGGTTCATGTACATATAGTTGGGAGGGTTTAATTTAATTATTTGTGATTATTTGTTAACCTTATATTGATTAAGGTTATATTTATTTGTAGGGTGTTTTTGATCAAGCTACTTGAGAGTTCTTTTGAAGTGTTGTTGGCTAAGTGAAGATCAAGGTACGTTAGGTGGCTAGATACCTTGGAAGTGATCGATTTGAATGAAACATGTTTGAATGATTTATGTTGTTTGAATTAAATTGAATTGAAATGTGGTTTATGAAATAAAAGTATGATAAATAGATTGGTTTTAATAATTAAATTGGGGTATTGATTTTTATAACATGTTTTGATTAATTAATTTATTATTCATGTTTAAAAAGGATTGATTTTGAAAGCAAGTTGGATTTATGGAAAAGGAGTTTGGATTGTTTTCATTAAAGATTGAATTATTGGATTTTAAAGAGGATTTATTGAATCATGGACTATTATTATTATTTATGCTTTATAAGCATGTTGGTAATCCCACTTTGCGGATTTGGTTTATTGATAAGGCCTTGGACTTTGCATGACCGGGTCTTTCCTCAAGAATAGCCTTGTAACATAAGGAGACTAGCTTGGGGGGTGTGCACACTTGAGAGAGGAATTGGTTTTAATACGAGGAATTGGTTTTAATATGAGGAATTGGTTTTAAAATAATTGGATTTGGTTTTATTGATTATTGATATTGGAATTATTGAGAATTGGTTTTAAACCATGAGTTTGGAATTATTGGATTATTTATTGGAAATTGGTTTTAAAGCATGTTTGCGAATAAATTGAGTTTAATTATCTTGCACTTTTCGTACTTAGCATATTTTGCTAACTCGTACTTCTTATTTGTTTTGGTTCGCCCTGTTTACCGTAATGGTAAGCAGTGTTGCTTATGTTCAGGTTGGAGTCAATAAATGATGCATTGGAGTCCCGGGATTGGTTTTCACTAAATTAGGAATTTGGTCTTGTATCTATTTTGAGTACTCATAACATTGGTTACTATTATGGTTATTATTAATAAGGAAGAGTATTGAAGTTTCCGCTACAAAGTATTGTTATTTTCAGTAAGTTGAGTAGCCTTGCGTAATCACGCGACGGTAATACGCCTAAGTCTATCTCTACGGTATAATTATACATATTACACTAGTATTTCCGTAGAGGGAGATTTGGGGGTGTTACAAAGTGGTATCAGATTTTCACAAAGTGGTATCAGATTTTCACAAAGTGGTATCTGATTTCAAGGTCCTAAAAAGATTAAAATTGTAATTAAAATTGTGGGTAGACTTAAGAGGGCATATAGGATAGATAGAGTTTCGCATTTGTGTGTGAGTCAAAAGCCTTATTTTTACTTAAAAAACTATTTTCTTATTTGTGGAAAGATGAAGGAGAAAAGGATTCTTGAGTTCTCTACGGAGGCCTATAATGGATACGACTCTCTGTCTAGGAAAGGCTCGCCTCAACGTCGTAGGTAACTTTCCTGGGAGATGCGGGCTCGACCGTCCTTTAATCTCGATTCAAGTACATATTTATTATTTTCGAAAATAAAAAGAATTGAAATTGTTTGAAACTTGAGTATGCGATTATGTGTGCATTAAAGTTGGTGTTAAAACACCTTAGAGTGTGGTCTAGAGGTCCGAATTTTTGAGTTATTACCCATGGTTGGGTAATCTTGAGTTATGTTTGGTTGAGTTATGAATTGCTTATTGCAAATGGATTTTGAATTGGATTGTTTGTGTGATTTGACACTTAATTAATTGTTTTGCATGTATGTGTGAAACAGATGAAAATGATTGATGCAATGAGACACCAATATTTTGACATTCATTACTTGAAAGATAGTGGAGTCACAATTAGTGATTTCATAACTGGAATTTGTACTTTGGCCTTGACCCTTTATGAGAAGGATGGTGAGGAAGTCTTGACCCAACAACCTTGGATGGTTCTTCTAGCCTTGGCCCATTTGCCTAGAATTAAGAAATACCAACATCACTTTGACAAATATGGGGATGTAATTAAGGAAGACGGAATGTGGAATGAGAAGCACCATCATGAAGGCAAGTGGTTAGCAACTATGTCTAGCCTTAAGAGGGACTTGCACTATGTGGAGCACAAGTATGAACCTAAGAGGAAAGTTGTGAAAATTCCCACGATCCCAAGAGATCGAACCTTTGGACCTAATGACCAAATGTACTTCTTAAATGCCCAAGTACCTTTTTCATACCCAAAGAAGCGACATGAGTATGTGGAATCTAGTGATGAGTCCGTACCACCTCTTGGTAGGAGCAAGCATTACTGTTCTCTTAGCCAATCTTTGAGCTCTGAATCTTCAAAACATCCTAGCTCAAAAGCCCAATTCCACATTGCAAAAAGGCCCAGAACTCGTTCTCAAACTGCAAAATAAAGAGCCCAAAACCCCAAAGCTTCTTCAAGCCAACCTTGTGGGGATGTAAGCCCAACAAAAAGCCCAAGTTACACTCATGCCCCAGACAGAAATATAAGTAAATCTGGGTCAAGCTCATCAGGCCTTATTCCAAGCTATAGTGGTTATAACCCAACTCTCATGGCCGAACCAAGCAATAGAAGTGATGATCCGGATTATGATCCTATTGAAGATGGTTATGCCTATAATGTTATTTGATTGTTTTTGAACTATGTTTTTGTTTCATGTTTCAATAATTGTCCTAAGTGACAAGGTTGTATTTTCATTAATTATTAATGAAATAAAATGAATTATTTGAAATTTCTCTATGTTATTAAGTGAATTAAATGCTTGTATGAGTAGAACTTGTTTTGATTTCCAAGTGTAATAATCATACCCAGGAATTATGTCTCCAAGAATGAGGGAACATTTAAGGAGTAAGCGCACTGGTTCCAAAGTTGGAAAGATCCTTAAGCAGTTGACCCAAATTACTGAGAACATCACGAAAGTGGTGAACAGGGAACACCAAAATCCCAAGCTTGATGCCTATTGTGAAGTCTTTAAGAGGGTAGCTGCAGCTAAACCACCTATTTACTTGGGAAAAGAGGACCCAACCAGCCTTGAAAACTGGATTAGGGAGTTTGACAAGCTGTTTGATGCTATCAATTGCCCAAGTGAGCTGAGGGTGAACAGTGGAGTTTACTACTTGAGGGAGGAAGCTGACTTATGGTAGGCCCAAAGAAAGGATGAGTTGCTGAAAAGACCAAACTTTGGGTGGGATGAGTTCAAGGAAGCCTTGAGAGAGAAGTTTTACCCTTCCTACCTTAGAAAGCAGAAGTGTATGGAGTTTACCAACCTAAGAATGGGAAACATGTCAATCAGTGAATACTACAACAAGTTCATTGAGTTGATGAGGTTTTCCCCGGAAGTAGTCCCTACTGAAACCATTAAAGCTCAAAGATTTGAGCAAGGCCTAACCTTGACCCTCCAAGGGAAGCTAGGAGGAGTGACTTTTGAGACCCTAGATGAAGTCTATGGCCGTGCAGCCCATCTGTACGGAATTAAAGGGAGGGAGATAGAGCAGGTGGGAGAGAAAAGGAAGAACCCAGACTCTTTTCACGGGGGTGAAAAGAGGCGCAAGCCTAATGGAAATTACCAAGGGAATTCTGGAGATAGGAGGGACAATAAGGGGAACTTTGGGAAGGGGAATGCGGGACAGTCATCCAACCATAAAGGGAATGGGAACCAAAGGGGTGAGAAACCCAAGAGGAAGTATTTCTGCAAGAGGTGTGAGAAAGACCACCCAGGGAAGGACTGTGAGGGAAACCCGGTAACTTGTCGTTACTGTCAGAAGTTGGGACATCGTGAGTATGAGTGTTTCAAGAAGGAAGCTGATGTTAAGTCTGGGAAGGTGAAAGAGTCTAGTGCACCTAGTAAACCACCTCAATCTAGTGGACCTACAACCAAGGCTGGAACCAGTAGCGGTACGAGAGGTGCCCCAAAGGGCCGTGTGTTCGTGATGAACAGTTGGCATGCTGAGTCTGCTAATGATGTGGTAATTGGTGTTTTCTTTATAAGTTCTTTTCCTGTGAAAGTCTTGTTTAATTCAGGGGCGTCGCATTCTTTTATTTTTAAGGAAGTAGTTGGGAGTCTCGGGTTAGAGAGTCCTGAGTCAGTTTCTCTAGATGTGTCTATTCCGCCTGGGGAAGTGAGGAGTTGTTCGAGATTGTTTTTGAGTGTGCCTATTTCCATCTCTGGGGTAGAGTTTCTGGCTGATTTGATCGAGTTTGACTTGAATGACTTTGATGTGATTCTGGGTATGGATTGGTTGGGAAAGTATGAAGCAAAAATTGATTGTGCGGCTGAAAAGGTCACCTTGACTAGCCCAAGTAAGACCAAAGTGGTGTATAAAAAGGAAGGGAAAAGTTCAAGGTTGAGAATTGTGTCTGCAATGCAACTACAGAAGCTAGTTAAGAAGGGTTGTCCTTTGTTTTTGTGTAGTGTTCAAGAGGTTGAAAGTGAGGAAAAGAAAGGTGAAGAGGGTATTCCTGTTGTAGAAGAGTTTCCAGATGTGTTTCCGGATGAGATTCCTGGTATGCCACCAGTGAGGGATGTCGAGTTCATTATCAATCTAGTGCCTGGAACTGGACCTATTTCTAAGGCTCCATATAAGATGGCTCCAGCTGAGTTGAGGGAGTTGAAGACCCAGTTGGATGATTTGTTTATATTAGGCCTAGTTCATCACCCTGGGGAGCCCCAGTATTGTTTATAAAGAAGAAGGATGGGATTATGAGGTTGTGTATTGATTACCGAGAGTTGAATGAGGTGACGGTGAAGAATAAGTATCCATTACCAAGGATCGATGATTTGTTTGACCAGTTGAAAGGAGCAGGGGTATTCTCAAAAATAAATTTGAGATCGGGTTATCACCAGTTGAGAATTGCGGAGCAAGATATTGCAAAGAGTACTTTTAGGACCCGTTATGGTCATTATGAGTTCACATTTATGCCATTTGGTTTGACCAATGCACCTGCAGTGTTCATGGACTTGATGCATAGGATTTTTAGGCCATACTTGGATAAGTCTATAGTGGTGTTTATTGATGATATTTTGATATATTCAAAGAATGAAGAAGAGCATAAGGAGCATTTGAGACAAGTGTTGTCATGTTTAAGAGAGAATCAGTTGTATGCCAAGTTGTCTAAGTGTGAGTTTTGGTTGGAGAAAGTAGCATTTTTGGGCCATGTGATTTCCAAGGACGGAGTTTCAGTGGACCCAAGCAAGATTCGAGCTGTGAGTGATTGGCCAACCCCAAAGAATGTGTCGGATGTAAGGAGTTTCTTGGGTTTAGCAGGCTATTACAGAAGGTTTGTGAAGGATTTTTCAAGGATCGCGAAGCCCATGACAAGTTTGATGAAAAAGGAGCATAAGTTCTCATAGACCCAAGAGTGTGAGGAGGCATTTAAGATCTTGAAAGAAAGGTTAACCACAACACCTGCGCTGGCTTTGCCGGATGGGAGTGATCCATATGACGTGTATAGTGATGCATCGAGGTTAGGATTGGGATGTGTATTGATGTAGAATCGAAGGGTGATTGCGTATGTCTCGAGACAGTTGAAGGTTCACGAAGGGAATTACCCAACCCATGATTTGGAGTTAGCTGCAATAGTGTTTGCCTTGAAGATTTGGAGACATTACTTGTATGGGGTGACATGTAGGATTTTCACGGATCATAAGAGTTTGAAGTACATTTTCACCCAGACGCACTTGAATGGGAGACAGAGACGATGGTTGGAGTATATGAGTGATTATACATTGGATATTCATTATCATGAGGGAAAGGCTAATGTGGCGGCAGATGCTTTGAGCAGAAAGTCAGAACATACGGTGAATGTGATGGTAGTCCCATATCAGTTGTGTGTGGAATTTTAGAAGTTGAACTTGGAGGTGATGGAACATGGTGAAGTGGTTAGGATGTTAAATGCCTTGGTGGTTCAACCATCCATTTATGATGAGATAAGGGATAGTCAATTGGAAGATGAGAAGTTAAAAGAAATTAAGAAGAAGATTGACGAAGGGCAAGTGTTGGATTTCACCATTGGTGATGAGGGAAGCATTCGTTTTAAGGGAAGATGGTGTGTGCCGCAGAATCGTAGTGATTTGAAGCAAATATTGATGGAAGAAGCCCATAATTCTCCTTATTCAATGCATGCTGGAGGGGATAAGTTGTATAAGGACATGAAGAAGACTTTTTTGTGGCCCAGTATGAAGAAAGAAGTGGCTGAATTTGTTGCTAAGTGTTTGACATGTCAGAAGGTGAAGATTAAGCATCGTAGGCCTCAAGGAAAGGTCCAATCCTTGGAGGTGCCCAAGTGGAAATGGGATTCGATTTCTATGGATTTTATGGGAGCTTTGCCAAAGACCAAGGCAGGAAATGACACTATTTGGGTGATAGTGGACAGGTTGACCAAGTCACCAGCGTTCATACCCATGAGAAGTACTTGGACCATGGATCAGTTGGGAAGAGCTTATGTGAAGTTTGTGGTGAAGTACCATGGGGTACCCACGGATATCATTTCGGAAAGAGATTCAAGGTTTTTGTCTAACTTTTGGCAAAGTTTGTAAAAGGCGATGGGAACTAAGTTGTTAATGAGCACAACATTTCATCCTGCGACAGATGGTTAGACAGAAAAAACGATTCAGACATTGGAGGACATGTTAAGAGCTTGTGTGATGGAGTATCAAGGGTCTTGGGAAGACCACTTGGATTTGATAGAGTTCTATTACAACAACCGTTACCATGAAAGCATTGGGATGGCACCGTTTGAAGCTTTGTATGGTCGAAAGTGTAGAAGCCCAGTATGTTGGAATGATATAAGTGAAAATATGGTACTTGGACCAGAAATGATTGAGGATATGGTGAAGCAGGTCAAGTTGATCCAAGAAAAGATTAAAGCAGCCCAAGATCGACAGAAAAGTTATGCTGATTTGAAAAGGAGGGAAGAGGAATATGAAGTAGGAGAGAAGGTTTTGTTAAAGATTTCACCCATGAAAGGTGTGATGAGGTTCGGGAAGAAAGGAAAATTAAGCCCAAAATACATAGGGCCTTATGAGATCATTCAGAAAGTGGGAAAAGTGGCTTATAAGTTGGATTTGCCTAACGAGCTTGAAAGGGTTCACAATGTGTTCCATGTGAGCAAAATCCAAAAGTATATTCCTGATGTGACACATGTGTTACAACCAGAAACCATTGAAATGGATGAGAATTTGACTTATGAGGAAAGACCAGTAAAGATTCTTGACTCTAAGGTCAGGAGCACAAGGAACAAGGATGTGAGCATTGTGAAAGTATTGTGGTCAAATCAGAAAATTGAAGAGGCTACATGGGAAGCTGAGGCTGATATGAGGAAACGTTACCCAGAACTGTTTGTCTAAGGTTAGTGGTCGAGTTACGGGGGCGTAACTCCTTTTAAGGGGGGTAGAGGGCGATAGAGTTTCGCGCGTCTACTTTTCGAGTCATTTTTGAGTGATTTCGAGTCTTATTTAAGTTTAGTTGGAGTCTTGAGTCAAGTTAGGATGTGCATGAACCAATAATTTCAAAATGATTTTTGTTTCTTTTGGCTAAGTTTCGGGTCGAAACTTATTTTAAGGGGGGTAGACTGTAATACCCCGTATTTTCATACGTATTTTCCTAATTAATTATTATGTTCTAAAAAGGGTATTTTAGTAATTCAATTTACTATTTAAATCTTGGAGCCAAAATGATATTTGAAGTTTGGCGCCAAAAGTATTTTGATAACTAATCATTATTTTGGATAAGATTTATTATCCATTTATCCTATTTTAAAAACCGAATTATTTATATTTAAGATATTTTAATTAAGGCAAAAGCTATATTTTATTATTATTTTAATAGGTCCAAAAATCCCAATTAATTAGCTAATAATTTCGGATTTTCCTATGTGAAAATCTGATTTTTATTTAGTTAAATTATTTGGTGAATATTTGGTATTTTATTATTTAATTATTTATTACAATAAATATTATTTACACAATTATTTTTAATTCCTTTAAACTAGAAAAATATATTCCTAAATACTAAATAGGAAGGCCGAAAATATGAGCTTAGAAAGCTCGATAATTTCGGCCATCCCATAAAGATTTTGGGAAAATATTTTGGTAATTTGTATTTTTAATTATCTCCCTTAAATCTCCTATTTTCCATAATTCTAATTCTCCATCTTTTTGATATCCAATTATTATATTTTCTTGCCATTCATTCTTCTTAATTATTCCCCAAGGAATCCCAATTTCCTTAATATTTTTCATGACATACATACCTTCCATATACAATTATACACAATCCCTTCAAATATCAAAACTTTCCTTAAATCTTTGCTCACTTCTTCAAGTAATCTCTTAAACCCTAATTACCATAATTCTTCCTAAATTTTCCTACCATATTTCATGCTCATACTAGCCTATAAATACCCCTTCATACCTCTCACATTCTTCACATCAATTCTCTTCTTTTCTTCTCCTCAATTTTACACAAATCATCCCGTTCATCTTTGAAGCCAATTTTCGGGCAATTCTGGTCAGTTTTTGGGGTGGTTACGTTTCACAAAAACTTGTTCCTCTCGAGAAATCCTTGAGGTTAGGCTCAAGAATCACCCAATTCTGAGCTATATCAAAGGAGTTATAGCCTCTGAAAGTTATGCCTTTTATTTCCTACGCAAATCCAATTCTTTTCTTCTCCTTTTCTTTTATTCAATTATTATTATTATTATTATGGGAGATTAATATAAAATTATTATGATTAGTTTTAGTTATATAAAATCAGATTTTAATAATGTTCATGTTGAATTAATTTAAGAGGTTCATGTATATATAGTTGGGAGGGTTTAATTTAATTATTTGTGATTATTTGTTAACCTTATATTGATTAAGGTTATATTTATTTGTAGGGTGTTTTTGATCAAGCTACTTGAGAGTTCTTTTGAAGTGTTGTTGGTTAAGTGAAGATCAAGGTACGTTAGGTGGCCAGATACCTTGGAAGTGATCGATTTGAATGAAACATGTTTGAATGATTTATGTTGTTTGAATTAAATTGAATTGAATTATGGTTTATGAAATAAAAGTATGTTTAATAGATTGGTTTTAATAATTAAATTGGAGTATTGATTTTATAACATGTTTTGATTAATTAATTTATTATTCATGTTTAAAAAGGATTGATTTTGAAAGCAAGTTGGATTTAAGGAAAAGGAGTTTGGATTGTTTTCATTAAAGGTTGAATTATTGGATTTAAAAGAGGATTTATTGAATCATGGATTTATTATTATTTATTCTTTATAAGCATGTTGGTAATCCCACTTTGCGGATTTGGTTTATTGATAAGGCCTTGGACTTTGCATGATCGAGTCTTTCCTCATGAATAGCCTTGTAACATAAGGAGACTAGCTTGGGGGGTGTGCACACTTGAGAGAGGAATTGGTTTTAATACGAGGAATTGGTTTTAATATGAGGAATTGGTTTTAAAATAATTGGATTTGGTTTTATTGATTATTGATATTGGAATTATTGAGAATTGGTTTTAAACCATGAGTTTGGAATTATTGGATTATTTATTGGAAATTGGTTTTAAAGCATGTTTGCGAATAAATTGAGTTTAATTATCTTGCACTTTTCGTACTTAGCATATTTTGCTAACTCGTACTTCTTATTTGTTTTGGTTCGCCCTGTTTACCGTAATGGTAAGCAGTGTTGCTT